AAGTTTAATCAGTACTTCCACTTTTACCAGAGTATTTTTTAACACAAGTATCTGTACTTTTACTCAAGTACGGAAAGTGAGTACTTTTGCAATCTCTGGTTAGATAAAATTTTTATCACCTGTGGATTTTAGCAAAAATTAAATCCTATTTTTGTTTTAAGAACTTTGAAGAAATTATCCATACTTTCATTACATCCCGGTTGGATTATTGCAATTCATCATATAGAGGCATGGATAAATCACAGATCTTCAACTGATCCAGAACGCAGCGGCTCGGCTTCTTACTGGAACCAGGAAGCATGACCATATAAGGCCTATACTGTCTTTTACTAAATAGATTTTAAGATTCTTTTATTAACTTATAAAGTCTTAAATGGATTATTTCCTCCTTATCTTAGAGACCTTTTAAAATTCCAGTCTGTGTGGAGAAGTCTACGTTCAATAATCAACTATTACTGACTTTTCCTCGGACTCGAGAGGAAAGGAGATCGGGCTTCTCTGTTGTTGCTCCAATTCTGTGGAACCATTTACCTCTTCAAATTAAATCTGCCCACAGCCTGGATCATTTTAAATCGCTTCTTAAAACATATTTTTATTCTTCGGCTTTTAATTGAAGCAGTGTTTCACTTTGGTGCAGCTTTATACCTGTTTTTAAAGTGCTATATACATAAATTTGACATTGACAAAATCCGTGCAGATCTGCTCACCCTGCCTAGCTGGAGCCTCTCTATAGCAGTCAGTGTGATGTGGAAATACATCTGATCGGAGATTAAAAAGTCGTACGGAACCGGTGTGTTCAGGCCTTTAGATTACTCAAACAGGAGTCAGATTGTGTCTGAGCAGATGTCCAGTCCAGGTGCTCTGAAAATTCCCTGAATCATTTGCAGATGTGGGTCCAGACATCCATAAAAGTGCCTCTAAAAGTCTGAGGACACACAGATTCACTTATGCATTGTATTCTCTAGTTTTGGTATAAATCCATTTCTTCACTAAAATATTGATCCATTGAGGGAGTCAAACCAAATAATATAGTTATCACTTCCGGCCACAGAGGGCGCTGTCATTACAGGGCTCCCAATAAAAGGTAATAACTTTCAGTGTGTTTGTTCTTCTTTGGTTCTACTCTCCAAAAACAAATACATATATAAATAAATATCAGGAAAAGGAACAAAGGGTTGGTTGGTTGTAATTGTCACGGATTTTACGTCAAAGTACGTTTATTTTTAAAACTCAGTCAAAATATCCAAAAACATGTCCATCCATCCATTCCTCCATCCATCCAATGATTCATTCATGCATCAATTAATCAATCAACTCATAATATATCTATCCATCCATCCATTCCTCCATCCATGTGTTGCCATGGTGACACTTCTGCCTGCTTTGCATAACAGTGAACTTTCAGAAGGTTTTGCATCAACTCATCAGTCCGTAAATTGGATCAGAAATGAACTGGAACCGCTCACTGGTCAAACTGGTGAAAAGCTGCAGAAAGCGGTTCTGATCTGGTCACGTGTCCCCTCACCTGCGCCTCTCGGTCTGTCATGTGTCACCAGGTGATGATGATGATCTGTGAAGGAATGCGGCGTCACCGTTTTTACGTCACCCCGCGATTCTGACGCACTCCCTTTCTATATTTACTCACCGGCTGCACGAGCGGGTGCGCGTGATCTGACCATGCCGGTGCGCAACCTCACGCGCACGAGAGGAGAAGATGGACAGGGTGTTTCTGCATCATCACCGCTTCAACATCTGGGCGCGAGCACTCAAACACACGGGCGCGCGCGCCCACTGTTGAAGCCGATGATGACAATGGAGGGATGAAGAGGAGAGACGCTGCAGTGATGGAAGAGAAGGAGCAAAAGATGAAGGAGGAGGAAGGATTTTCTTACCGCAGCTGAAGGAACAGCTGCCTCCTCTTCCTCAGCTCTTACCGACCGACTGACGGAGCCGCTGCGCGACGCTCCTCCTCCTCCTCCTCTTCCTCCTCTTCCTCCAAGCCCTAATTAACCCTTAGAGCTCGTGCGCGTCGAATCCAAACATTGAGATCTGAGTTGATCAGTTTCTGTTCAGCTATCATCGGAGATGCCAGCCCATCCTGCTGTATCCATGGTGACCAGCCGCCTCCTGATGTTTGCAGAAACCTTTCAGAGCCTAAAGTCAGAGAAAAGTGTTAAAAACTCAGACAGATAAGAGCCGCATACCTGCTGCACGGGAGCGTCTGCAATAGCATCTGCTTCCAGAGGAGGGCAGCAGAGAGCCCCTTACTCTGACCCTTATTAAAGGAAAAATCCGCTCATATTCAGAGTACAAACTTCTGAAAGTCCTTTAAATATGAAATTATTACATACTTTTTAATAAATGATCAGTGTTTTTAATTCAGAGTAATTTTCATGTGAATGTGCTTTACTGGAGGCATCCATGTTTGTCAAAGAACACTACTGCCACCTACTGGTTAGTGAC